TATGATTTTTTTTTTCATTATACTACCATTCTTTAATATAAAAGAACTAAAAAAAAAACATATTGAAGAGGACTTTATAATCTTTTTAATAAATTTTTAAATTCATTATTTCTCTTTATAATACATCTAAATTTGTTTACTCATGATTATTCTCAAGTGATAAACTCCCTACTTTTCTTTTCTACCCTTACCTCCAAATTCATTCTTTAAATTTCCAAACAAATTCTTAAAGTATCAAAAGCATGAGGGACAAATTTGCTAAAATCTGATAAGCATGCCAACAATAAAAGACACGTAATAAGGCAGATACAAAATTATAATGGCTTTCTTAATTTATATTTCTTTTTTCTAATATTAACATACTATTTTGTATTAAATTATAAATTGTTTTAATATCATTTATATTATTATTTTATTATATTTTAAATACTTGTTATTCTTTCATCTAATAATTTTTAAATTTGTTTTTTCATATTATAAATAAATAAATAATGCTAACTTGCGCACCTGAGATATAATTTAAATAAATAAAAAAATTTATTATAAAAGACAATAAAGTTATTAATTATAAAATTGTATTTAATTTATTATATAATTTTTAAGAATTTTTTATTATATTTATCGCTTAATTTATGTCTCAAGGACACTAAGTTAACAATACCCTAAATAAATTATAATTTTTTTTAGTTTTTAATTTTTACACAAATTATTTCAAATAGTGAAGCATAAATCATTCACCATTTATAACTATACATTGAATTCAAATAGTATAGTAAAAAAATCAATTCTCATATTGAGAAACTCTAATTTTAATACTACTAAAATATAATGAATTTATTACTATCAATTGAATACATTGTCGACTTATCTCAATCCACCCCCTTTATGATGTGTCTTTTACATAAGATCGATCAAAATATAATAATGTTGAAAAATATCTTTAGAAGACATGATAAAGAGCTTATATATTAGAGTGCTTTCCTTTGAAGAAAATGAAAATGTCGCCAGCATATAAAAAGTGAGAGGGAACTTTTACTTGTTTTGCACCAAACATAAGTGAAAAGCTTTCTTTCAGCCAGTTGCATGAATATACTTCTACTACGAACATCCTCAGATAGAAAAAACAAGAAAGAGGGAGGGGGTCTCTCTGCTTGACTCCTTTATTTCATTTGAAAAAACCATGAGCAGTGTGTTGATAGAGATAGACTAATATGCCAAATTAAGAAATATGGAAAACTATGATCAAAATTTTGTATTAAAGTCGTATTTTAGAGCACTTTGATAAGTCTAGTCTAATGTATTATAAGCCTTAGTTGCATCAACCTTGATAGCAAGATTTTTACAAATAGATTTCTTGTCAAGTAAGTTAATAGATTTTGAAGCAAGGAAAATACAATATTTAATATTTTTACCTTGTATGAACCCCCTCTGTTTATTAGAATTGATATCTTGAATTTGAAATTGGCAAAGGAAATTGGCCTAAACATGTCATTGGAATTTGCATTCTTTGACTTAGGAAGAAGAATAGTGTTATTAGAGTTAAAATTAGGAAAGATTCAACTCTGAGAGAATACTTAGAAACTGTGTTACAAACATCTTTTTTAATAATATCCCATTAAGTTTGATAGAAAGTTTCCCTAAAACCATCAGGCGGGGGAACATTGTAATTGATTAAACTGAAAATAACATTAAATATTTCCTCTAAAGAAGGCGTGATAGTTATAAGAACATTCATGTTGTCAGAGACATAAGAAGGAATCACTTCATCCATTATAGAAAGATCCTATTATACCATCTCTTGATATAACATATTAGTAAAGTAATTTACCACGTGAGCGCCGATTTCTTCTATGCTAGTAATTGAAGTGGCATCATGGTTGATTAATGTATTAGGTACGCAAGCATTCTTGCTTTTGTGACTATGAAAAATTCAGTGTTTCTACCCCTATGAATACCCCATTTAGCCAACTCTTTTCATGCCAGAAATTTCCTTCCATGTTAAGAGCTTTCTTCATTTCTATCTGAGTTAACTTTTTAGAATTTATCAAGTCATCATTCATACTTAGAGTTTGAATTTTGCTATGAATATCATTGAGGTGTTCAAAAGTATATTTAACCTTGTCATGAATATTTCCAAAAATCTCAAAGTTCCACGCCCTCGGTTTACCTTTCAAATTTTGCAGCTTTTTGTTTAGGATAAACATAGGACAACTAATTATGTTTTTGTTCTAGTTAGAGTAAATGAAGTCTCTACAATTATCATGCATAGTCCACATTGTTACAAATTTGAAACTAGATCCCATTTATACATTTGACATAACATTTTCAAAAAGAATAAGAAAGTGTTCTGACCTTAAATTAGTTAAAGTAGAAACTGTGCAGGTAAGACAAGAAAGCAACCAATCATGAGTATATAAGATTGTTTTTAATCTTCTCTCAACCAATCTAGAACCTTGTGTACCATTTGACCAAGTATAAAAAGCACATTTGGTTGGCAGGTCAATTAGATTATTAGAATCTAGAAAAAAATTGAACTCATTAATAGGAGTTCTATTTGGATTAGGGGAACCTTTGTGCCCATGAGCCCCAGTAATGCAGTTAAAATCTCAAATAAAACTCCATGGAAGAATATGATTCTCAACTAGCTTGGAAAGGTCAGACCAAATAGCTCTCCTATCAATATAAGATGGAGAAGCATAAACAGAAGCTATGCCAAAATTCTTATTACCCTTCTCCACAATGTAGGCCACATATTGATTTGAACTACTAACCACAATAGCATCAATGTCTTTTGTGAAAATGCACCAAAGATTAGGAAATATGTGTTGCCTAGTGTTGAAAGCAGAAAACTTCAAGTGCAAGGAATCAAGAAATCTTGGGGGGAAAGGCAAGTGATTCATCCAAAGTTTTGAAAGGAAACAAAAATCTAGTTTATGCAACTTTATAAGGTTTTTGAGATCCAATCTAGTGGGGCCATTGGCTAGACCTCTAATGCTCTAATAAAGACATTTCATAAGAAAGGTTCACCAGCTTTAGATCTAGTTGCAAAGTTCTCAACCTTAGATTTTTGCCTCAATTTCTTCTTATGATATTTAGACAAAACCATTTAGAATTCTTGTTGAACTAAATCAGTTTCATCTTCAATATCATCTTCGAATTATGTGATTTCAACCAAATTTTTCCATGAGATATGAAGAAACCACATATCATTGTTCATGATTAGGTTCAGAGTTTTCAATGATTTCCTCAATTTCATAGTCTTGAGTTGCATTAACATATTCATCTTATGGGTTGTTGTCCTCATAGTCCTCATTGACTTTAACAATAGGTTGCTTAATACCAACTAAGACATGCTCTTTGATAGCTCTACTAATTTCAGGATGCTCCAAATGAGTTATGTTGTTCAAATTACTTGGTTTTGGTTCAATAATGCCATTTCCATTGGAGTGCTTTGAAGTTACAGGCATATCCAAAGTTTTCTCTTTGAGAATGTACACTTTTTTACAGGTTTATTATTAGGTTCTCCTGCTTGGGTGCATCCAAAAACCTACAATTGTTAACCCAATGATTTGTTTTCCTGCCATGTGAACAAAAGTGAGGGAGATTTTCATACTCGACATCATCAAAAAATGCAAAGCCTTATCTCTCAACCAACACTTTGTATATCAGTTTTATAGTGATGTCCATGTCTACCAACACTCTAACATAGTGACAAAAATAGCGATCCATCACGTGTTTAGTAAATGTAACATCTGAGCATATAGGTGTGCCAACCTCACTAGCAATAACAAATAGAATTCTTTGGTTTCCAGTACTCCTAAGAAATTATGTAAAACCTTATCCAAACACGAGCAGAAGAATTTTGTTGAAGAGAAGAATTAAAGTTCTTAGTCCATACAAAAAGTTTTAGTAATTTTGGAGATATGTACCGAGAACTAGAAGCTCTCACATGCTTAACATCTTCGAGAGAGAGAAAAAAGTGAATTCGAAAAAACCCTTTTCCTAAAGAGATTACTCCCCATTTTTCAAAATCCTTCCAAAGCGATGAAATCTCGCTATGCACGCTAGCCAACGATAGAGGTGTTGTTCATTTGGACCATAGTATTCTACCATAAAAATTGAACTTGCAATTCCACGCCTATTTAATATTCCTCTTTCAGAATTGTGATAGACACTTAGTCTCCTTTGATGAGGTAGTTGTGAAGACGAGATGTTGCTAAACAACTCCAGGTATGTTGAAATCTATAAAAGATATTTGGAAACCATAACTTAATATTGCATGTCAACATTGATAAAATCGTTGAATAAAATTATTTAAATTAATACTGTTTCCCCGCATTTTCTCTTTTTAATAAAGTATTAAATTAAATGTACTAGTATATATTGTAATATCTTTTGAGTCAAAAATAAAATAAAATAAAATTTGTAATAATTAATGTTAAGTGGTAGTTAATCATTTTTAGTTAGTATTCATATTTTGCGACCCGAGACAAAACAATAATTTATTTTTCTCTTCTTTCTCACGTCCCGCGGAACCTGCAATAACAGCACTTGCACTTTTTTCCCTTCTCATTGATCCCAAATATCAAACTTTAACGACAAACTATTCAAAATAACTCTTCTTTTTCGAAACCAGATTTCAATTTCAGGTAATTTACGTTTTTTCATATCAAATCAAGCTTTTCCCTTTTCAATTATATAGATATATCTAAAATTTTCTATCACATTCACAATTCCATGATTAGGTTTTTCCTTCATCATATCTTACAATTCAAATTTTGTGTTTTAATTTGTTGATACATTTTCTTTCTTGCTGCCAGAAAATGATAATTGTTAATTCTTAGAATTTATTTTGGAATCTTACATATCTAGTTCCTTATTGTTGAGGTTGGTTATGGTAATTTGTTTATGTGTTGCTACATTGTTACAGTGATTGTGAAACTTGGAAGGGGTAATTTAGAAAAACACTAGAAAAGGTTTGGTACATAGGAGTTCCGAAAATGTATAGGCCTGTGGCGGCTTCGTCAGCCACATCCCTGGGCGGATTGACTAATGAAAGTGGGGACTCTGTTGTGACATTAGACCAAGTTCCAAGGTGGATTGACGTTGACCATTTTTTAGAGAGTGACAATGGAGATTCATCGTATTCCAATCCATATTTTCCCGATCCTTTGGAGTCCAAATCGGGAACTGAAAGTGGTGCAGGTGGTTCGGTGTCTAGGTTTCCGGTTGACCATGAAATAAATTTACGGATATATTTGTGGACAGGGAATCCTTGGAACCTTGAGGTGGATGCTGTGGTGAACTCAACAAATGAGGTTAGTTATAATCATCCCTTAGTGTTATATTAAGTGATAGAATGCTTGTGTAAAGTTATTAAATAAGGATCTGCATTTTAAATAAACTTGATAAAAAACCAATTTTTGTTCACCCTTAATCACAATTCACTTGTTGCAATCTTGTGAACTTGTAATTTGTAAATCAAGTTTGAAAGAGGTACTCTCAATTCTTGACAATTATCTTGCATCTCAGCCCATTGCGTTGTGATTATGTAATATAAATTATATAATGATATTTCATATCAGGTTATAGCTAAGCCTCCAGTAAATACAATGCTGCTAATAAATTGTATTTCTCATCGGGGTTCGGTTTCTTGTCAACAGGTCATGGATGAAGCACACAGCAGCCCTGGGTTGCACGCTGCAGCTGGACCCGGTCTTGCAGAAGAATGTGCAACTTTGGTATAGTTCTTATTAACTACTTCTCCAGTAGTATATTGTTATGAGTTCAATGTTGATAGCATTTTGTAAATTTAATATTTATAATATAATTTTATTGTAAAATATTGGAATTCATTCGTGGAATAAGAGTTTATACATCAAACCTGGAAAGCAATTTTTGTTATTGATATTTAAGTATGATAAATTAAATGATATCATATATCTTATTCTTGACAGGGTGGATGTCGAACAGGGATGGCTAAAGTTTCCAATGCCTATGACCTTCCAGCAAGGTTTGTATATATTGGCCCCTTTAAATTTACATTTTCAAAGTCATAAAGTAGTTAGTTATCCTCATTTTCAATTTGGGAAGCCCCGATGCCAATTAGCAATAAGGGTTTACTTTTTTTTGCTCCTGTTCGGACAAAAAGGAAAACTGGTAATATTTTTAAGTTAATGTTGTTGCATTGTTGTAATAAAGAGTGGGGTGAGCTACTTAGTTGATAGGTTTGCTAAGCCTTAGTAAGCTAGTAGTATAAATTGCGAGGCGAGTGAGTTGTGATGGCTACTATTACATAAGAATATTGGAGGAAACCACTATGGTTAGTCAAAGAGAGAGTCTTCTCCATCTCTGAGGAGCTTGGCTCTGGGGTAGATTGGGATTCTTTCCCTTCTACAGTTTTTCTTTCTTCATCAATTAAGTACATTCTATTTTCCATTGTTTGATTTATTGTTTCCTTCATTTCTGCTTCTAAATTCTGGGTACCCATCATATTGGCATGCGCTTTGTATGTTGTGACATGTTTTCTCTTTTCCAATGTTTTAGCGTGTGAGATCAGTTATTCATATCCCGTGTTCAACCAATTGTGCTAATGCATTGTTCCCCTTTTTACTGACCTATATTTCTTCCTTAGTTGCATGCAGCTCTCTTGGGTAGAAGTTAGATACCTAGAATATGATATTCTATGCCTTGATAAATTCTGGCAGGAAAGTTATCCATACAGTTGGTCCAAAGTATGCAATGAAGTACCACACTGCTGCAGAGAATGCTTTAAGTCACTGTTACCGTTCCTGCCTTGAGCTTCTAATTGAAAATGGGCTTCAAAGGTTTTTAAAAGTTGTCATTCTTTTCTTTTTTATTTTAGAAATAGTTGGCGCTTCTCCCATGTTACCTCAAATATCTAAAACTTGCTATTTTTTTCTGCATATGTTAATGCAGCATTGCTATGGGCTGTATTTATACAGAAGCAAAGAGCTATCCCCGTGAACCAGCTGCACATGTAGCTATAAGTGAGTTTTCTCCCCTCATGTTTTCAGTTTCTAAATTGGCTTTGATTTTTTTATTTATTTATTTTTTTTTTTTGAAAACTTGACTTGATAGATTAAATATTTTAACATAAGTGTTGCTTAAATTAATGATAATGGGGACAACAAGGTGCATCATAAGAAGGAAAATAGATGCATGTATGTATAGTTGCATCCTTGCATGCATGATTATACCATTTTATACAGTTTCAAAACATCCCTTCAATCCAAATGCCTTCCATCTCATCCCATTCCATTGCAGTCATCATCTTATATCAAATCATAGTCTTAGGGGGTATTTAACGTGCAATGTTGAACGTCTCTAGCAAATAGTGTATGCTTTTTTATGCTGTCAATTAGAGAGCTGTTTTCTCATTCCTGATGGATAATACATTATTCTTAGTCTTCTACGCCTTGTCTTTTCACATTTTCTTATGTCTTTTTATTCAGGAACTGTGAGGCGGTTTCTTGAGAAGCAGAAAAACAATGTAACAGCTGTTGTATTTTGTACTACCAGTACAATTGATATCGACATCTATAAAAGGTGTTTCTCTATTGCTGATACCTGCAATGTTTCAAATGAAAGGAACTTCTTTAAAAATTATGCCAGTTTGTTTTATTTGCTTTTCACTGCATACTCTGTATTACTTATTCGTTTTTTCCCGTTACAGTTTGCATTTTTTCCATGTAGGTTGCTTACACTTTACTTTCCTCGGGATAAACACGAGGAGGAGGTGGCTTTGTCAAAGCTTCCTGCAGATGTTGGGGATGAGAATGGTGAGACTACCATAGATGAGCGTAAAATCAGAATAAAGCCTTTGCCTAAAAAAAAGGGTCCAAAACCTTCTCAAGAACCAGTTGATCTTCCTGTTAGTGATGTTGGCATGTTTCGCAGGTCAGTAATTTTTAGTAAGAAAATTTTTCATATTTTATATTTCACTCTAGATTACTTTTTCATATTTTACATTTTAGTAAGATATATTATATTTCATTCAAGATTACTTTATTTTCCCCAAACATTAGTTTTTCCATTGTATTTGAATGAAGGAATATCCGTTATTAAAATTTTACTTGGTGAATATTCCTGATTAATGTTGCTTTTATAGGACTTCATCATATTTAGATTCATTTCTAGATCCTGCCTTCATGTCTTTGATTAAAGACCCTGATGAAAGACGTCTGGAACAGTGGGAGAAAACTGTTCAAGCACAACGAGGCTGGAATTTTGCCAATTTTCTTGGATTCGGTGACCTAGGTGGACCACCATTGTCTGCAGCTGAAGAATATTCTCTGCACTCTAGATTTCTCTCTAAAGCAAAATCCTTAAATCTATCTGAAATTGCAGAGATGAAAATTGTGTAAGGGTCCTATTTCATCGCCTTTGTTTTGTATACTTTGATTACTTTTAGCTCCATAATTACTTGAGATATTTGCTTACTTCATTGTTTGGATTCAAAAGTCTGTTACTAAATATTATGCATGTGCATATCTTTTTATGTACAAGGGAATCACACATTCTTCAATTCTTGTTGGCTTCTTAACCAAAATTTTAAAGACTTTATAAGTCAATCCTGTATGATGACAGTGATGTTCTTCCACATAAGAGAACATAAATTTATTTTAATAGTTGATAAACGAATAATGAAATTTTATGCTCTTTAAAGTTTAATATCTTTTGTTTCTTAACCAATTGATATGAAGTTTTCATGAATGAATTAAGAATGAAATTTACATTTATTATCGAAGATGTTTGCATTTTTCAGCTATCGTGGAGGGGTGGACAGTGAAGGTCGTCCTGTCATGGTTGTTGTAGGGGCTCATTTTTTGCTCAGATGTCTTGATCTGGAGCGATTTGTGCTTTATGTGGTGAAGGTGATTTATATTTTGCTCCCTTCAGCTTGACATATTTTACTGTTGAGTGCTGACAAGCATAAGTCTCATTTATTATAATCATTAAGTTTTAATCCGGAATTTTTTCCTCATCCTGTTATGTTTTCAAATATATTGAAAATTGTCTTAATGTTATATTTCAGGAGTTTGAGCCAATAATACAGAAGCCTTATACTATTGTATACTCTCATTCTGCCGCATCTCTACAAGTGTAAGTGTTAATAATGGACTTCTAGGATTTAAGATTGGTTTATTCTTTTATGCTAAAAATGAAGGTATGAAAGAAGCCAACGATTCTCTAAGAAAAATACCTTGGATGGTTGAGAGAAACTACTTAACACTAAACCTTAATTAGGGGATTTAGTTGTTATATGTATTGTTCGGATACTTAAATAAAAAATATTTTCATTTCTAAAATTAATTAAATTCAACTTTTACTCAATCAGAAATATGAGAGAACTAGAAATTCAATTCGATGTATGGGCGTATATAGCCTTTTATGTAATTGTCAAACATCTCACATGCATCAGAAGAACTTTATTTAGTTGTTGAAAACGATACTTACATAGACACAAACATGACACTGACACACATAAACAACGGTACTAATTTGAGTAAACATAAACGATTGAACTAACCACATATGTTAGTGTCTGACATTGACACATGTTAGACATTTGATACACCATTAATCTAAAGTCTGAGTGATAAATAGTTTATAAGTTGCTTCTATAATTGGTAGCTCCAAACTTTGTGCAATGTTTGCTAAGTAATATGGTTTCCTAGAGATCAGCTGTCACTGTCCTCCACCGTATTTTTGTATGCGCAGGCAACCAGACCTAGGTTGGATGAAAAGATTACAACAAATACTTGGACGGAAGCATCAGCAAAACCTACATGTAAGCGGTATTTATGCTTTTCCGATGTAGTACTGTTAGACCTTTGTAGTCTTTGTTCTGATCTCACAGTCTGATATGTCCAGGCAATATATATTCTTCACCCAACTTTAGGACTTAAAGTTACAGTATTAGCTCTACAGTTACTGGTGAACAATGTGGTATGATAGGAAAATCAAATTACTTTAGTTGATTTATCCCTATTTGAGAACATCCTAATTGTGTTATATCCGTTGGTGTTTGATTTCTAGGTTTGGAAGAAAGTGGTATATGTTGATAGACTTCTGCAGCTCTTCAGATACGTACCGCGTGAGCAGTTGACAATTCCAGATTTTGTGTTTCAGTTGAGTCTTAATGTTTTCATTTGCTATCCAATTTGTGTCAAAATATAATTTATGTTTAAATTATTGGTTATAATTTGTTTTGAACTGATATTTTGTAGGCATGACTTAGAAGTGAATGGAGGAAAGGGTCTTATTGTGGATCCCAGAACAAAATATGTTTATCAAAGACCTTGAGTATTTCATCCGCATTTTTAAGATCAGTTGATAAAGAGCATCAATTCTCGTAGTTTATGCATTACTTGCCTTGCCAATTACTCTCACAATCTCACTTATTATAGGCAGAAGAGGGTCTATATATCTGTGTATGTAAGAATCAAGTTTTACTTTTTGATAAATATTTCTCTGTAAGTAATATAATATTGTAATTTTTTCTCTGTAATCTCTCCTAAGTGAGTTCTGAATAAAATTCAATGTGATTTTGATCTCTGTTGAAGCTATAGCTTGTTGTCTTTGTACAGTATCTTGTACATCAATGTAGGACTTGTATGCTGACTGTATTAGCAAGAGTGGAGTGGAAGAAAATCAGAAACAGTAGTGAATAAATAAATATTGGTTAATTTGCACGCTGTTTATATAATATCAACATCAATGATTGCAATTTTGGCCTATACTATGAGAACAAGTCACATAAGCAAACAAGCACGTTCAGGATTAGAAGTATGGTAATTGTCACTTTATAAATAGCCTCCTCTAACACCATAGTTACTCAAACTATAAACAGCTCAATTTTAGTAACACACTTGATTTAGTGAAAATGGCTAAATTGGCAAATTCAGTTTCATTCTTCTCTATGATACTATTAGCATTAGCATATGGTTCTAATGCTGGGAGCATAGCAATCTACTGGGGTCAAAATGGAAATGAAGGCACCCTTGCAGAAACATGCGCCACAGGAAACTATGAGTTTGTCATCTTAGCCTTTCTTCCATCCTTTGGAAATGGCCAAAAACCAATGATAAACCTAGCAGGACACTGTGATCCATACAGTAACGCTTGCACAAAGTTAACCCCTGACATTAAATCTTGCCAAGCCAAAGGAATCAAGGTGCTGCTCTCAATCGGAGGAGGCGCCGGTAGTTACTCACTCGCATCCTCTCAGGATGCAAAACAAGTAGCAACTTACCTTTGGAACAACTTCTTAGGAGGTCAGTCTCCGTCTCGTCCTCTCGGTCCCGCTGTTCTCGACGGCATCGATTTCGACATTGAAGGAGGAACGAACCTTTATTGGGATGATCTCGCAAGGTACCTTAAAGGATACAGCAAAAATGTCTACTTGACAGCAGCTCCTCAGTGCCCGTTTCCTGATGCTTGGATAGGAAATGCCCTAAAAACAGGTCTTTTTGATTGTGTTTGGGTTCAATTCTACAATAACCCTCCTTGTCAATATAGTGGAGGTGCAATTAGCAACCTTGAAGATGCATGGAAACAATGGATATCTGATATTCCAGCCAAGAAAATCTTCTTGGGGCTGCCTGCTTCTCCTCAGGCAGCAGGAAGTGGATTCATATCTGCAACTGATCTTACTTCTAAAGTGCTTCCAGCAATTAAGAATTCTTCTAAATACGGAGGTGTTATGCTTTGGTCTAGATACTATGATAATGGATACAGTTCTTCCATCAAGAATCATGTCTAAAGTTGAAACACCTATGAATATATATTTGTTGTATTATGTAATGTTTAGTGTTTATTCATGTTCTAGCTTGTGTGTGTAATTAATCTATATTTAATGTTTTGTTATGAAGTATATTATCAATTAATATGAAAATTATTATGTTTTCTATATAGTCAATTTGTATGGTCTTTATTTCGATTATATTCAGATTAGCCTAAACAAGTCTTAATGTTGTGGTTAGTGTTGTTTTAATATATTCATTTTGCTACTAATAAAAAACTCATACATATATTTTATATACTTTGACAAAATCAAACTCACAATTCCTATTTATTATTATTTATTTTTTTTTTAATTTTTATGGTCTTATGAACTAAATCAATTTTTCTTAATTGTGTTTGACTTTCTAAAAAAAGAAAAAACACATTATTTATTTAAAAAATTTATCTAATTAAAATTGGTAAGTTCATAGTTTTGCATTAATATTTGCGTTTGAACTCAAACATTCCACTTATTATTAGAAGTATAAAATTTCAGTAATTAAATTATTAAAGATAAACTTAAGAAACATAAGTGAAAATACAAATACATTTTCACATTTCCTTTGCTCGCTTCTGTTCTGTGACTGGAATCCGTAAAATCTTCTGCTTCTACTTCTTTTTCCGCCATTCTTTTGGTAAATTTTCTTCAATACTTGTTGCACTTGAACCATGTATATGATTTTCTGTTAATCAAAGTTTCATCTTCACACTATTCCCACATGTTATTTTCTGCTTTCATTTCTAATCCTCTAATTTTGTCAATAAAAGTTTTTAATTTCAAAGGGTAATTGATTTTTTTAGTTTAGTCTGATAAACCATGTTGCAAATATATGTGGATTTTATGATAGTTATAATTAAAGTTGATTTTCTTTTAAAAATAATTTGATGATTTGAAGCTTCATAATCTCAATTCATGTATTGCCAATAATGCAGGAACATTGTGTTCAGAAAAGGGTGAATTTGTGTTTCTCTTTATGCTTTTTAGGGTAAGAGGCTGAAGCATCAATTTTGGCTTCACAAAAAATGGTGCAGGGTGTGTCATTGAGCACTCTAGCAACATGTGGAAAGAGCAGAATCTATGGCTCTTCACTCTTTGAGCCGTTTAAAAGATCGCATGTTACGTCTGCCGCTGGAAAACACTTGATTTGGAACAAGTGTGTGCAGAGGTTAGTCTTAATTGGGTTCCCTTTTGTGTCAAGACGAAGAAGTGATTTTAAGGTTGAAGCGGCGTGGATGTTTAGAGGAGGAGGAGAACAAGGGTTGGATGCAAATGCAGAGCAGAGTGAAAGTGCTAATGAGGATATCTTGATGTTCTTCTTTCAGCTGGATTTAGCCACAAGAGTGCAGGTTTAGCTGGTTTTAATATTTTATAACTAGCATCAATTTAAATTGCGGTTGCAGTTACGGTTGCGCTAGGAAACTTTATATTGCAGGAAAATGCGTCTGGTATGGTTGAACTTGAGGTTGCGACGCTGATACAGATTCCTCAAAATCCTTTTATATCGTGGCCGCAATTGCAGTTGCAGACCGCAAATTTAAAACCATGATAAATATTTGTGGAAGATTTCTTAATGTTTCGTCTGTTTAACTTTTGAATGTCAGTGTGCTTTAAACATGGAAGAGTGTGACATTGCGAAGCAGCTGCGAAACAAACTTACTGATGTTAGATTAGTGAGTGACTAATACTGTTCTGGTATCCTATACCTATGTGCATGATAATGTTTACAAGGCTTACTTGAAGTGGTTATGCGCGTGTGTGTGTGTTTGTGAGCGGATGTTATTTTCAATGAACTCGATTTTGTAAAATTGATTTCATTATAAATGAGTTAGAAGTGAAGTGATTTATAACAATTTTACTTGAAATGCAAGTACGATGCAGAATTTAGTGTAAAACTTTCAACCTAATTTAAGATTTATTCTTTAGCATTCTAGTCAAATCGAAGTTTGGAAGAAAAAACAATTCTTATATAAAGTAATCAATCATAATAAAATAACGTTTTCCCGGAGGAAAATTACTTTTCACATCCCCGCCTTGTATCAGAACATGCACTTATACTACTCAGTTTCTGTCGGTGATTTTATTTATCTATATCAGATTCGTTACCCTTGAAATGTGTGTATGACTCTGGCCTATTGATAACTTCAATCAATGGTATGTCTATCGGTCAGAATATGACGCTCTGTGTATATGTCTCCGAGTCAACCATTTTTTCTGGTATTGGAGCATTGAATGGCTAGTAACTTACTTGGTGTATATTATTTATGAAAGGTTGAAGAAGAGGTAATTAAGCAACAACAGTCAAAAAGGGGATTGTCTTCAAAAAGTGATGCACAAGATAAAGGTCTAAGTATTATACGTCTTCGGTGAGATTTCTTCATCATTTGTATTTAGCTTACTTGTTCTCAATGATTGAGCGTGCAGTGTGTGTGTGTGTGAATTCTAAAGCATCTGGATTTGAAAATACTTATGAGGAGAACTGATGTTGGAGGGGTGGTATCGACAATGTGAAAACAAGCACACTCTAATCGGCTTATTTTTTGTTTTTCATCGTCATAATCTGTTGGTCTGCTTGAACATTGAGAGCGAATAATCCTGTTTGGCTTGCAGCTCAGACCTTCAGAGTGCTATCGAAAATGAGGATTATGCCTTGGCTGCTAAATTACGTGACGAAATTTCCAAACTCGAAGCAGAGTCTCTGGCTGCGTCAGCTAAAGCCTTAGCACATGAAAATGCAGAATATGTGTTTTATTTGGGGCAGAAAGTAAAGCATAAAATATTTGGTAAGTAATCTAAATCTCTCCTATCAATACAACAAATTTATTTTAAATGCTTTAAAAATAGGACCGGAAATTGGACCGGAACTTGGGCCTGAGCGACCTTTGGCGATGGTTCAATCGATTCAACCATGATTGAACCAGAAAGCAAATAAATAATTAAAAAAGGTATAAAAAATGCAAAATTTAAGAACTGGTTAAACCAAATGCAATTCAAGCGGTTAAATCCGATTCAACCAGACTAAAGTACTACTACAGTCAAACCAATCAGCAAACTGGCTGGTTACCGGTTCAACTGCTGGAACCAGCTGGTTTAGCTCGGATTTTGAAAACCACAAGTGTGCAATGTAACATGACAACAACAAGGTGATTTTTGAAAACCTCTAGAAATTCAACTCTCGATATATGGGAGTATATAGCCTTTTATGTAATTGTCAAACATCTCACATTGCATCACTAGAACCTTTTTTAGTTGTTGGAAACATCTACTTACACAGACACGAACACGACACTAACACTAACATGTAAACAACGGTAATAATTTGAGTAAATATAAATGATTGAACTAACCACATATATTGATGTCTGACACCGACACATGTTAGACATTTGATACACCGTCAATCTAAAGTCTCGGTGCTAAATAGTTTATAAGTTGCTTCTATAATTGGTAGCTCCAAACTTTGTGCAATGTTTGCTAAGTAATATGGTTTCCTAGAGATCAGCTGTCACTGTCCTCCACCCTATTTTTGTATGCACAGGCAACCAGACCTAGGTTGGATGGAAAGATTACAACAAATACTTGGACGGAAGCACCAGCAAAACCTACACGTAAGCAGTATTTATGCTTTCCCGATGTAGTACTGTTAGACCTTCGTAGTCTTTGTTCTGATCTCACAGTCTGATATGTCCAGGCAATATATATTCTTCACCCAACTTTAGGACTTAAAGTTACAGTATTAGCTCTAAAGTTACTGGTGAACAATGTGGTATGATAGGAAAATCAAATTACTTTAGTTGATCTATCCCTATTTGAGAACATCCTAATTGTGTTATATCTGTTGGTGTTTGATTTCTAGGTTTGGAAGAAAGTGGTATACGTTGATAGACTTCTACAGCTCTTCAGATACGTACTGCATGAACAGTTGACAATTCCCGATTTTGTGTTTCAGTTGAGTCTTAATGTTTTCATTTGCTATTCAATTTGTATCAAAATATAATTTAAGTTTAAATTATTGGTTATAATTTGTTTTGAACTAATATTTTGTAGGCATGACTTAGAAGTGAATGGAGGAAAGGGTCTTATTGTGGATCCCAGAACAAAATATGTTTATCATAGACCTTGAGCATTTCATCCACATTTTCAAGATCAGTTGATAAAGAGCATCACTTGTCGTAGTTTCTGCCTTACTTGCCTTGCCAATTACTCTCACAATCTTACTTATTATAGGCAGAAGTGGGTCTATATATCTGTGTATGTAAGAATCAAGTTTTACTTTTTGATATGTATTTTTCTCTGTAAGTAATATAATATTGTAATTTTTTCCCTGTAATGTCTCCTAAGTGAGTTCTGAATAAAATTCAATGTGATTTTGATCTCTGTTGAAGCTATAGCTTGTTGTGTTTGTACAAGTATCTTGTACATTAATGTTGGACTTGTATGCTGACTGTATTAGCAAGAGTGGAGTGGAAGAAAATCAGAAACAGTAGTGACTAATTTGCACGCTGTTTATATAATATCAACATCAATGATTTCAATTTTGGACTAAACTATGAGAACAAGTCACATAAGCAAACAAACATGTTCAGGATATGAAGCATGTTATGTTAATTGACACTTTATAAATAGCCTCCTCTAACACCATAGTTACTCAAACTATAAACACCTCAATTTTAGCAACACACTTGATTTTGTGAAAATGGCTAAATTGGCAAATTCAGTTTCATTCTTCTCTATGATACTATTAGCATTAGCATATGGTTCTAATGCTGGGAGCATAGCAATCTACTGGGGTCAAAATGGTAATGAAGGCACCCTTGCACAAACATGCGCCACAGGAAACTATGAGTTTGTCATCTTAGCCTTTCTTCCATCTTTTGGAAATGGCCAAAAACCAATGATAAACCTAGCAGGACACTGTGATCCATACAGTAACGCTTGCACAAAGTTAACTCCTGACATTAAATCTTGCCAAGCCAAAGGGATCAAGGTGTTGCTCTCAATCGGAGGAGGCGCCGGTAGTTACTCACTCGCATCCACTCAGGACGCAAAACAAGTAGCAACTTACCTTTGGAACAACTTCTTAGGAGGACAGTCTCCGTCTCGTCTTCTTGGTCCTGCCGTTCTTGACGGCATCGATTTCGACATCGAAGGAGGAACGAACCTTTATTGGGATGATCTTGCAAGGTACCTTAAAGGATACGGCAAAAATGTGTACTTGACAGCAGCTCCTCAATGCCCTTTTCCTGATGCTTGGATAGGAAATGCCCTAAAAACAGGTCTTTTTGATTGTGTTTGGGTTCAATTCTACAACAACCCTCCTTGTCAATATAGTGGAGGTGCAATTAGCAACCTTGAAGATGCATGGAAACAATGGATATCTGATATTCCAGCCAAGAAAATCTTCTTGGGGTTGCCTGCTTCTCCTCAGGCAGCAGGGAGTGGATTCATATCTGCAACTGATCTTACTTCTAAAGTGCTTCCAGCAATTAAGAATTCTTCTAAATATGGAGGTGTTATGCTTTGGTCTAGATACTATGATAATGGATACAGCTCTTCCATCAAGAATCATGTCTAAAGTTGAAACACCTATGAATACATGTTTGTTGTATTTTATGTAATGTTTGTTTATGCTCCAGCTTGTGTGTGTGATTTATCAATATTTGACGTTTTATTATGAAATATTTTACCAATTTCTATTATAAACAAGTTTTTCTTGCCTTAATACATGTCTTATTCTATTAACTTAATTTCTTTAATTAAAAAATATTACAAATTAGTTTTTTAACTTCAGTTCTATTATCTTATTTGATATATTCCGTCAATTTTTGAAAAAAAAACTTTAAATTCTAATGTTGTGGCATAATACCAAAATTATCAGTAAAAAATCTGAATCAATATATATAGTTAAAAGTTAATACACTTTTTAAATGATAAGATTTTTCGAAAATAAAATTTCTATAATTTAAAAAAATATTAGTTTTTAATGATATATGTTGACTTAACTTTATATTAATGATCTTATTGTCGTATCACACAAACAAAACAAAACTTGATGTATTTTTGTCAGAAATTAAAAAATTAATGTGTAATATTTTTTAATTAAGGATTAAAGCGAAATTAAATTAAATTAAGGGATTTGGTACGTATTTCTTTTCATTTAGGTATGTATTTTATTATCAGTTAATGTTTATGTTTCTAGAAAAATGTATATATAAAATAAATGTATTATAAAATTCAAAGACCAGTCTCTAGATATGAGTCAATTTCTTACTAAGTAAATCAATTTTTTTTAATTGTGTTTGATTTCCTAAAGAAAGAAACACACATTTTAAAAATTTATCTAATTAAAATTGTTAAAGGGCAAAGTTTTGCATTAATATTTGCCTATGAACTCAAACATTCCACTTATTATTAGAAGGGTAAAATTTCTATGAGAAAAAGAGAATATATATATTTATAGTTGTAAAATATTTTTACATAGCTAATCAACAAGAGATGTAGTATATTCCACTATATTATATTTTTATTTTTAAATTAGTAAAATACTCGTATTTTGAATAAAATTATTTGATACGGTATAAAATATATTTAAATATACATTTGAAATGTTATAAAATATATTTATATAGGTGTTTAAATTTAAAATTAACTATTAACTATAAAATGAACAATGATTATATAAATTCAATTGTATTAAAATACAAATAGAAAAAAAGAATTTTTGAGATGAAAAAAAATATTTAATATTTGATAATAAGGATTTTATCTTTCAAATTAAGATGATTATTTATTAAAATAAAATATGTATTGTGGTTATAGTAACCGTGAAATAGAAAGTTTATTTGATACAATATAAAATGTATTTATATACATATGTAAATTTGAAATGAGTTATTTAATTATAAATTAATAATTATACAATCTCAATTGTATTAAATAATCATGCAAAAAGAAAAAAATGACTCGTGAGATGAAGAAAGACAAAAAAGAAAATTTTGATACGATAATGACTCGTGAGATAAAGAAATTATTTGATGCGATATAAAATGTATTTAGATACAAATGCAAAATTTAAAATGAACAATAATCATATAAATTCAATTGTATTAAATAATTATATATATAAAAAAGAAATCATAAGATAAGATGGAGAAAAAAATATTTAAAAACAAGATAATAGTTGATTAAAATAAAATAAAGGAAAAAATATTGTCTAGATTCTTTAAGTTATTTTATTATAACAAGTTAGTCCTATAATTTTTTTTTTACTACAATTTGGTCATTTATATTAACTAACGTCTTCACCGTTGATCTTTTTCACAAAATCCGTTCCAAAAAAACTTATGTCGCACAAACAACGCTGATGTTTCATTTAAGGAGATGATGAAGAACATGTTGAAGATGTTCAAGATGCTAGTTCATGTCATAATGTTGTTAGTTGTGACCTTTGTAGCGTTGACGTGTATTTTGGTTCAGAATTGGTGATTATTGTTAATTTTGATGTTAGTGTCGTAAGACATGACTTTTGGTGCCTTCATGTAACACTTGCCGTATGACATGACTTTTGGTACCTTCATGTAACACTTGTTATAATTCTATACCAGTTTTGTCACAGTAATTTGTACAACAAACAAAACTTGAGGACCTGATTGTTACAATTTAAAAACAAATGAGAATTATTTGTAGAAAAAAAAATATAATGGAGTAACTTATTATAATAAAATAATTTAAATAACTCGTACCGTATTTTTGTTTAAAATAAATATTGTGTTGATAATAACCCGTAAGATAGATAAGTTTTTAATTTTATTAAAATTCAAAAAAATAAATTATTAGTAGAGTAAACTAATATGATTGACTTTAACAGACAAATCTCACCAATTCTCAATGTTATCAATTGAATCTTCATATGTTTGAATATGTTTTTAATTTGGTCCATTCACCTTGTTAAAATCAAAAGGTGTGTGTCCAATTTTCATCATTAAAATCACGTTCATTATGCTACTTAAATCATAGCATAACACCCTGATTAGCTTAGATTTATCAAACATGAAAAGGAAAATAATCATGTGTAGCTAACATGTGGATAACAATGAAACTTTCATACTTTTATTTTGCAAATCAAATATTTATATTCCAATCATCACTTTATTTTGCAAACCAAATATTTATATTTCAATCATCATTATGGAGCTAGTATTGCTCTTCATCTTTAGTAGCATATGTTTCTAGCACACTTGTCACGAAATAAATGATTTCCAAAGTAGTTCAAAACACTTAGAGCATCTCCAATGGTGCAACTCATTTTTAGGTTCTTTGTGGAACCCACTCTTTTAAAGCAACTCATTCAATTTTCACTCTAATGGTGCAACTCTAAAGAATTCATATTGGGTCTCACCACTTTACTTAAAGATTATTATTTATATTAAATTTATTTTATTTAAAATTATAATTTAAATATTTAAATTTTAATTAAAATGATAATTAAAATAATAAATAAAATTTTATATCAAATTATAGTTTTTATATTATAAAATTAATATTTTAATATAAGAACCATTGAAGAACCGTTGCATATTTAAGAACTTTTTCATCTTGAAAACAACAAATATGAGTGCCATGTTGGCAAACTCACTCTAAGAACTCCCATTGGAGTTGGTCTTACCTCTTCATCTTCTGTAACTCAATCAGTAATTACATCCTCTATAAAAAGAATGAAATGCTTGTATGAGTATTTATATGTGTGTATGGACAAAGACAAGAGGGAAGCATGAGGAATGAAATGCAAAAAGAAATTTATTGGACAAAGATGCATAAGTCGGCCTGTAAAGGTCATAGGTCGGTCTCTATAGGTTAATAGGCCGACCTGTGAGGTGACCTGTAGTGGAGTCTGTAGGAAGAAGCTATAAGCTTCATTATTGCTCTGTAAGAGCCGACCTGTAATAGTTATGTGTCGGCCTGTGACTTCGTATAAGTTGGCTTGTATGCGTATAGGTAAGCTTGTACATGATTTATGACACATAACTATGATTTTTTAGGTGTATGATAATCCTGAGACCTTCCTAGTATGTTCAAAGATACTTTTTATACATTCTAAGGCTAAGAGACCAAGTGAACATCTAA